AAGAAGGCAACGGTAGTCACAACAACGATCAGGGGAACCAGCACCATCTGAACAGGCGTAAAACTCGTAAACACCCCCAATGCACGTTGGCGACATCATTAACATTTAAACATGCGTAATGTAATTTACTAATTTCATACGGAACGCTGGGCCCCGTTCCCAGGAGGTGCTGGAATTCACCCCAAAAATGGAGCAAAAAAAAAATTCCAAAAAAAAAAAAAAAAAAAAAAAAAATGTCAACAGATAACCAAAAAAACAGAAAAAAGGAAAATAACAAAAATTAAAATATATATAAAAAAAAAGGAAAAGAAAAAACAATACATTGCCCAACCCCTCGAATTAAAAAAGGGAGAAAAAGAAAAAAGAGAAAAAGAGATTCAATCCCTCGGGATCAAAAAGGAAAAGAAAGAAAAAAAGGAAAAAGAAAAAGATTTGAAAAACAAAACACATCTCAGAAGCCACCGCCAACCCATATGCTGCTCGCCCCCTATCACATTGTCTTGCTTGCAGTCGTCCCTTTCTTCTACTACTGAAAAAAAATTAATAAAAAAAATAAAAATAATAAAAATTGAAAAACAAAACACAGCCCAGGAGCCATCAGCGACCCACGTAGCTGCTCGTACTATATCACATTGCGTTTAACTCTCAGTCGTTTGGATTGCCTTGCTAACAAGTAACGTTGGTATCATCTCCCTGGTGATTAAAAGCTATCCTAGCATCGAACATAGGATTGTTTCTCCCCCCTCCCAGGCCAAGATGGCCACTCCAGCCCCAATCACCTTCCAGCGCCGCTTCTCTTCAGTAGTGGCAGCCAACACAAAGAATGCAGACAAAAACACACAGTCGAATGGAGCTCTGGTCGACCACAAAACCCTCCGCTTCTGACTGGAATCGCCTCAAATCAAAGGGGAAAGAGTAGTAAAGAAGATTCAGMAGGACSGAGAGGAAAAGGAAATCACAGTTTGGTGCTWCCCGAARGAAAAAATTGAAACCACCAACGCCATGTACSCGAAACATGGGCTAGTTTTCACYTTTTCCAACACTGSGGCTCGCCTCCCAGAAATCGAGAAACGCAAATGGATCACAAGGACAGTGCAGGGACACGAAAATCTCAGATCCAGCACGGACAAATTCTCCATTCTGGTACTCAGCAGAAACATGATGATGGTGGTCTTCAAAGATGCCGACCAGGCATCCAACCTGACCAACAGACACACCACACTGAACTGCAACGGGTCAGTATGTTCACTGTCCCGCTGGAAACAGGAGACAGCACAGGAAGCCATGATCTCCCCGGCAACCGCGCAAAAACAGCGACTCATGAGGGACCAATTCTGGGTCCAATTCGACAACATCCCGATTAGAGGGCACCCGCTGATCAAGGACAGACTGGAAGTGGAGTACCCAAACAACAAAGTGTTGAAATGGGTACTTCCAACTCCGGAATTCCTGGCCCCACACTGTGACTCCATCACAGCCGTTTTGGAAGTGAACACGGAATCAAACCCCGAATTCCCGGAAGAATGGGAATTTAGCATAGGGGAGGAAGCATCTTCGGTAACAGTCTCGACGAAAGATGCCCCCATCTGTTTCAGGTGCAGAGAGAGAGGACACCTGGGCACAGACCCAGCGTGCCCGAGATCCCCCGAACACTCCAAAGAGAAGAAACTGAGACAGAACATGCTTATGGAAGTCGAAGAAGCAAAGGGAATATGGTTCGTCAACGACCAGGATTACAACGGATGGGTCTTCGACGACACCATCGACGACCCGAAATGGATCTGGACATATAACACGAACCCGTCAACAAAACAGCCAGATATATTCCCCCCCTCAGACAGCAGATGGCACGCAGTGGGAGCAAAGAAAGTAACAGGTATCCCAGGAAAAATCCACAAAGATCAGATCATCGACCCACGAGSGATCAGGGAAGAGAAAAAACACGAAGATCTGTTGTGGGACATGGAGACAATCAGGACCAAGACAGCAGAAACGTGCCAGAACACCAACCTGGATAACAACACCCTGCTGCAGGAAGCGAAACAGACCCTCAAGCACCGCCACCCCAAACCAGAGATCCCCCCCGCTCTCAAACGGAACGCCTCTCCCTCCGCCAAGAACTTCCAAGAGGACAGGGCAGGTAAGAAGAGAAGGGCAACGGAGGAGGGCTCAAGTAAGATTCTCAAATTTGTGCACCCACCCACTGACGACCCCCCCCCCCGAGACAGACCCGAACTCAGCGGACACGGAAACAGGAACGGACACCTCACAAAGCAAAGCAAGCCCCATTCCCTGGCTCGAAGAGTACCTGCAGCGAGCAAAATATGAAAGGGAAAAAGAATTTGACGCCAGGCTGGCATGCATGAAACATCTGGAGAAAACAGGGAAGCCAACCAATGGAAAAGCAGTGGCCGGAATCCCACAATCCAAAAATCTTTTCGATATGTTGCGCATGAACTCCGAACTCTCGGAATTCAGCGCCTTCAGATATTACGAAAAGAAGAGGGAAAGAGAATCTGCTGGAACAGACACCGGCACAGGTTTTGACCCCCAAACCTCGACTGACTCCATCCGAGACATGTTTTCCAAGAACTGGAAACCGTCGAAGGGAAGGGATAAGAGGCCTAAGGGTCCCCCCAAAGACGAAGCAGGCAGCAAGAACGTACAGCGCAGACTCACGCAGGAAATTGCAACAGTGGCAGCACAGACAAAAAGGTTGTTCGACCAGAACCAGGACTACAAAAAAGAGCAAGGAGAGAAGTTCATAATAGTTCGGATGATCGCGGAAAACAAGGCGCCCGACGTCCCCAAATCAGCAAACGTTGATAGGGGGACCGTCAGGGCTGTAAGACCGCTGATCCCATTTCGGTTCAGAAACAAATTCAACGAGTGGCAGGTGGCCACAGACGCAGCATTCACAATCCCCACCCTCGATGACGACAGAGCCCTGGCCAAGAGTATCAGGGACAATATCTCAGCGGAGACCCCACTGGGGGTGTTTGGGATCCCGCCACGGGAGCAGACAGTCGAAGGGAAGGCGCTGGAAGAACCGATCCTCACCCCCTTCGATCCCATCCTGGTCAAGCTCGACGAGAAAGCCAAACTCTGCGAAGGCCTGACATGGAGGGCTTGGGACACGATCACGATGCTGCCATACAACGTGCTGAACGGAAGGTTCAGCACAACCGACATCATTGCAGACTCGTTGGCCGACATCATCAGGACCCGCATACTGACCTCCAAGACCTCGCTGCAGGACGAGGCGACCCCCATCGACGTGGACTTGGGGAGGGAAGAATCAGATAGGGAGGACGATGAGGAACACGGGATGGATGTGGGCGACAAGATCTCCCCCGGGGGAGGCGACGTGGGGCCTCGCTCGACGACGGAGAGCAGCGCTGGAGAGTTCAGCCTGGGCTCCTCAGCGACTAGTGAGGACAGCAGGGACACTGACACTGACAGCGGCAAGACCCAGGCCGCAGCGGACTGAACAACTTACCACCTGCAAAAATAAAACCCCACCCCAAAAAAACAAGATGGAAAAACTGCATCGGTAACCAATCAAAAGAAAACCAGGAAGGAAAAAGAAGGGGAAAAAAAAAAAAAAAAAAAAAAAAAAAAAAAAAAAAAAAAAAAAAAAAAAAAAAAAAAAAAAAAAAAAAAAAAAAAAAAAAAGCAACAATGCGAAGTCCCACAAGTAGCAGACACGGGCAGGACAGCCCAACCAGGATTAACTGGCACGCCAAAGGGCTCCAGATAATCAGCTGGACCGTCAATGGCTTGGGGAACGCTTTGACAGAGGAAGACGAGCTCAGAGATCTGCGGACGGGCCTAGTGGGGAAGGATACCCCTAGACCAGACCTCATCCTCCTCCAAGAAACTCACCTGTCCAATCTGATCAACCACTCGAAGATACAGCAGATGATGGAAAGAACCGTAGGGGGATGCACATTCGCTCTGTGGTCTAATAAAATTGGTCAAAGCAATAAAGGAACTGCAATACTTGTCCCAAAAAGATCTAAAATCCTGTCCGAGGGACAGATCCTGAACAGCGAGGGGGATTGCAACGATGGGAGATGGTCTTGGCTAGACATCAAATGGCAAGGAGAAGACCTGCGAATCCTCAACCTGTATGCACCAAATACGGAATCCGACAGACTAACATTCTTCGAGAACATCAAATCCGTCATGCCCAAACCACAGCCTATAATCATCGCAGGGGACTGGAACACGACCCTAGACCCGTACCTAGACCGGATATCAAGAACAACACTAATGGGACCTACAAGAGCGGGCAACCGGATTCGAAACCTAATGACTGAATTCGAACTCTGTGACCCTCTCAGATCACTACATCCGGACAAAAAAGTATTCTCCCGGATAAGGAGGAACCAAGTCAACCGGACTTCATTGTCCAGGATAGACTACTTCCTCATATCCGAGAGCTTACTCGGTGCAGTTAAAGAGGCCGAAATCCTCCCATCGGCAGCATTCAAAGGATTTGACCACAAACCCACTCAGCTGCTGCTAAACTTCAATGTACCAGTCCAAACAGGCCAAGTTTTTTTCAAGTTGAACAACTCCCTAATAAAAACCGAGAGAATGACTGCGGCAGTCAAAGGAAACTGGGCTCTCAACAAACAGCGAGATTCTAAGCAGATAAACAGCCACCAATGGTTCATCGACAGTTACACGAACCTAACACAGGCAGTCTCAGCGGAGTCCAGAGATATCGCTAGAGACCGTAAAAGAAGAAGGGAAGAGCTATAGTTCGCTATAGTTGTTGCGGAAGCAAACCTCGCGGAAGACCCAAAAAGTAGATTCTACCAAGAGTTATTAGACGACACCAAAGAAGAAGTGAATGAGTGGAGAAGATGGTAACTGAGAGGCCTGCAAATCAGAGCAAGGATGACAGACTACGTACTCAACGAATCCATGACAAAATTATTCTTTTCTAAAATAAAAGTTAATGCAAGGAACAACATGATAGAAGCCCTCAAAGACCCAACAGACCAAGGGATCACCAAAACAACAGGCCCCGAGATGGTCAGGTTAGCCAGATCATTCTACGCAGACCTTTACGAGTCAAAGACACCCTCACCCCTGACCACAGCAAACCTAGTTGCTCGTCAACTCATGCTCTCATACCTAGACAGGACCATCACAGATATTCAGGCGGAAGACCTCGACAAACCCCTGACATTGGCTGAACTACACATAGCCCTGACACAGATGGGAAACGATAAAGCCCCGGGCATCGACGGACTCTCCAAAGAATTCTGGAGCTGTTTCTGGCCAACCCTGGGTGAAGACCTGCTCGAGTTTTTCAATGAAAGCATGCGTAGAGGAGGCCTAGGAGAAGATCTGAGTACCAGCGTGGTCTCACTGCTTTACAAAAAGGGAGACAAAGAAGACTTGAAAAACTATAGATCCATATCCTACTAACCACGCCCTACAAAATCCTAGCCAAGGCCCTCACAAACAGAATCACCAAATTAACTGACAGCTGCTTCCACATCGACCAAGATGGATTCATCCCGTGTCGGTACATACTAGATAACGTAATGACTCTAAATGAGGCAGCACAAAAGATCACGGAAAAACGAATGAAGGCGGCAATACTATTCTTCGATTTCGAGAAAGCCTACGACCAGGTCAACTGGGATTTCCTCCATTCATGTATGGAGAAGATGGGAGTTGGACCGAATTTCAGAAATTGGGTGAGAGTACTGTACGCAGACGCAACAGGCAGGGTCCAGGTCAACAGAATCCTATCAGATACCTACCCAATTTCGCGATCAGTCAGACAAGGCGACCCACTGGCTCCACCCATATTCCTCTTCATCATGGAGGCCATAGCCTCATTCCTCCGTAAAGATCCGTCCATCGACCGCCTCACAAAACGGAACTTCAACCCACTACACGACTTCGCCTTACCCACAACACTCATGTTCGCCGACGACCTCACGGTCCTCATCCGAGCCAACAACAACTCCTTTCAAGCTCTCGTAAGGGCTATGGAAGCCTTCAGATTAGCCTCAGAGATGAAGTTCAACTGGAACAAAACAGAAGGATGGTGGCTTGCTGACGGCACCCCTCCCCAACCACCAAACACCGACACACCCATGACATGGACCTCGGGAGAGCAAGCACTAAGGTTCCTGGGCATCATGATCAACAAGGAAGGGGCTTGGACAGGTATGGGGCAGAACTTAATCGCTAGGGCAATCACCCGCCTAGCCCAATGCAAAAACGCTCAGGTTTCCCTCATCGGACGGGCGCTACTGATTAACACAACCATCTTTTCCACACTGTGGTACATGGCATCCATCTGGTCCCCCCTTGACGACCACCTCAAGGAGCTGAAAAACAGGGTGAGTTGCTACCTGTAGACAGGTGACCCCAACAGAACTACATGCATCAACAGGGTCGCATGGAACCATATCACAAGGAAACCACAGGAAGGAGGCCTCGCGATTATCGACCCCAAACAGGAGACAATAGCACTACAAATGAAGTGGATAATCAACATTCTCACCAAACAGTTCCTCCCGTGGACCCAGATGGCGCTAGACAGCATCAGAAACTTAGTCCCCATCAACTCCCCCCCGAACATGAACGGTCTGTTCTGGCTCATGGCAAAGGACTGGACAATCAAATCTGGCAGAACGCGCAGGAGAAACCTCTCACAGATCATCACAAACCACACCCAAACAATCAATCCGTATTGGCGCCCCACCATAAAAGCCTGGCGTAAGATGATGCCTAGCAAACACGGGGCACCAGGAAACAGAGAAGAAGTCCTGAGACAACCTCTTTTCTGCAATCCCTGGATCACTGACCCCAATGGTGCAGCGTGGACTCTACGCTCCAAGGACCGTAGATGGCTATCCTGGGTAGAAAAAGGCGTATGGCAGGTCAAACACATCTGGATAGAAGACCAAGGACAATGGGCTACCGACCAAGAACTACGGAATGTATTAAAGGGTTGTCACTCCCTCTCTGATAAGCTAACACTGATCCAGAAAAGCATCCCAGCACACTGGCTCCCCCTCCTGAAAGAGGAATTCTCGTGGAAATCCGGGGACTGGGGAGTACTAAAGTCCCAAACCCAGCCCACCACAGCATACAAATTTGTTAACAGAACCGGCCCATCCGGTCACCTATCGAAGTTTTACTCCTACCCCGTCGCCAAACACAGCACATACGAGTTGGAAATCCAGAACAAAGATCCCCAATACGATACACTTGAAACCTTCCGGCTGAGGAAGGTAAGGGTGTCAAAGGCTAARCCCTGGAAGATCTTCCAACYGAACCTCAGCATCTCWGAGCTAGAATTCGACCCGAAAGAATGGATTTGGAAACAGGGGAAATCAGGGAGAAYGAGAACGATAGCAGAATATGATGTTAAATTCGGCTATGAGTTGGGCCTGCAAACCACCGACCCGGACCCCAGACTCAAAGACAAGTGGAGGGAGATACTGAATCTGAACCCCTCRGTCCCCGTATCAATCCCGTGGTCGAAGTTCCTGTCCATTAGACCGGCCAGGATCCGAAGCATGCAATGGCTCTTAGCGCACGCATCACTGCCGACTAACCATTGGYTCCACAAGAGAAGAAAACACACAGACCCCGACASCACTGAGTTATGCAGTCTATGCACAGACAAYGCCTCRGAAGATATACCCCACTGCCTCCTATACTGCAAGGAAGCAACATGGATATGGAACAAAGTATGCGATYTGTGGACCTTCCTCTTCTCATCATCCCCCCCGCCCATAACCCCCCTGAACATTYTGCTMTTATCTAACAACACTAGCAATCTCAAAGGCGGCAAGGAAGTGTGGTTCCATCTACTCAGAAAGCTGGCTCTATGGGTAATCTGGAAGAGGAGATGCACCAAGACGATCGAAGGAAATGAGGTGCCAAGAGAAGAAATGTGGGCACTACTGCTGAGAATGGCTGAAACAGAGATTCGAGCCAGATCGAGGGAAGTGACAGCGGCAACGAAAGGCAAACCAGAAAGGATATCCATGAAGAGACGAGTGTTCATAAGMGACTGGCTGCTRCAGGRAAAGATCGCCACTCCGGTGGAAAACAGATTGGTGTGGAAGAAGTGGCACAGCACAAGGCCAGGAACTTAGAGAGAAGCAAACTGAGATTATAATCTCAACGAGTACAGACATTCCCCCTCTTTTCTTGCTTTAAATGCGTGATTTGACAGAGACACAGTAGACTCTGAGAGGAAAAGTGGGAGGGCAAGCTAACAGTCAATCCTCCGGATAAGGAGTAATCAATGCTGGTCAGGGTTCCTTCGGCCAGACGGAAGGAAGCGTGAGGGTGTTCACCATGTATTTTATCTTTAATTTGCCAGGGGAAAGGAACCGGACTAACGCTCCCTAGAATGGAAATGGAGCCAGGACCATAAGGACCTGTTTAAAAAAAAAAAAAAAAAAACAGTCCAGGGGATGTTCGGGATACGATTTTGGGTAAGATCAAAATGTGCCTCCCATATTTGGCCTATGATTT